TGTCTCCTCTCTATCTCCTGCTATTAAGTTTGTCATTCTTAGGAAAGATGGATCCAATTCTTGACAGAGTTCCATGTTTGTCAGAAAACAGATCAACATGTCAGGATCATATTTAGGGAAGAGTCTAGTCAGACCAGACACACTAACAACACCAGTATTGCTAGCAATGTCAACATGTTCTTTAAATGTCTTTGGAGCAAAGAGAATCCCATCCACCTCAGTTAGTAGTATACCCTTATTCACAACAACCCATACCTTGTCTTCACTTTTAAGAACACTGATCAAACCAGTTGAGTGCAATGAATGAAGAACATCCAAGACGTCTTCTCTCTTATCTGGTATAACATAATCATTATTGTCCTTGCCAGCAGACATTACATCAGAGAGGGTCAGTATATTTTCTTTCCTTTCCACCAGTAGTCGGTACATTTCATGATCATAAAGACTGGATTTATTTCTTCTTGTACCACGAATAGACTCACAGGCACTAAATGACTTTTCAAAGAAGAAATCCACACCACTCCCACCGAGCTTACGGCAATCTAAAAAGACACTATCACACCTTTCCCTTACAATAATCTCCTGTGTTTCTTCCTTTCTCCTCCTTTCAATAGGATTACTTATGTCATCCACATGACTGACTATTACAATAACATGGCATTGATTAAGAGCTTTCTGTGCTTCATTTCTCACAACTGTTAGCCACTGATGAAGCTGTTTGACTGCTTTCTTCTCCAATATATTCACTACTATCAGGAACACACCACCAGAACCTTGTAACAGATTCTCAATGACAGCATTGTGACTGGAGTAGTATTCTGAATGACCAGCAAAATCATGAAGAATGATGTTACCCAGTGTCCTGTGTTGTAGTTTATAAGGAATGATGCCAGCAGTACAGGGCACTACTCCTTCAACATTTCTAAAGGAACCAAGAAAAAAAGAACCAGTAGCTGTGTCATTGATGACGTGACTAAGAGTACTTTTACCAGCTCCAGGATTACCCACAAGGAGAACGTTAACATAAGAATCAATTGGATGAGATATTTTAATGTCACCAAACTTTTTTAAGATAGCAGTGATAGTATCACTATCAAACTCTCTCTCTTTAGCTAGTTGTAATGGTGTCCACTCCCAATTTTTTTCAGCCAAAGGATCACAATTACCAGTTGATAAACAGTATTCAGTAACTTCAGCTGTACCCCAATTAGCAGCATAATGAAGTGGTGTCCATCCATCTTTATCTCTGACCATTATATCACAGTTACACTCATTAATGAGGTACTTTACAACATCTATGTGTTTAACAGCACAATGAAGAACCGTCCGACCATATATGTAAGTATCACGATATTGTTCATCCAGTATATGACCATTGATGTTCATGACCATACACTTCAAGACATCAAGTAATCCTTCACTAGCTACATAATGAAGGATAGGGACACTGCCATACTTAGTAGTAGTACCCATCATTGGATTACAGCCACACTCTTTAATAAGATATTCAACTATATCAACATGATTACCTTTAGCAGCAGTATAAAGGTAGGATTCAACACAGTAGTATATATGTGGATTAAATTGATATTTAGTGATGAGATCTCTTGTAACATCTAACCAGCCATTCCTTATAGAATAATGAAGCAGGTCAGGCTCCTTCCGGTGAAGTTCATCAGGATCCTGTAAACGTAGTAGCCGAACAGCTTCTTCATGATCTCTACTTTCAAATGCATTAAAACAACGTCTTGGAGATAAATTTTGTCTCCTTTCCATTATCAATCTATTCCTTCAACGTCAGCAAGAGGACAAGGGGCCGGCAGTGGGTGTGGTAGAGAACGAAATAAATCCCATGGATGATGGTGGTGGACAATGACTCGACCAAGCTATAGTAAAGAGTCTGCACCAAATCTGTTTTATGAGATGCTTGGTAGCTGACCCATTCTTTCTTCCAACCCTGATAAGCAGTAGCCTGCAATGACTACTGGAGTCAACTAGTCTAAATGTACTAC